TAATATAAATAAAGGAACTTACAGACATATCAGATATATACCATGCTTCTAATTCCAGCACTCTGAAAGCAGAGCAAGCAAATATCTGTGAATTTGAGGCCAGCCTGGTCTACCTGGTGAGTTCCAGCCTAGCCAAGGTTATATGGTGATTCCCTGGGGGGCGGGGGCGGGGATGATGATGAAGGGGGGTATTTGAATATTTGGGGGGATGGAGAGATGGCCAGGGAGTTAAGAATGCTTGCTGCTCCTACTCTTGCAGAGGACCTGAGTTCTCCTAGCTAAAATCCACAGTGGCCACCCCACAACAGCTTGGAACTCCAGTTTCAGGGGATCTGATGCCTCTTCTGGACTTTGCAGGTACCTGCATGTACATGATGCACACACATACACCCTGGCCCACACACATACACATAAAAGAATACATACCAGCATTAGATTTCTCGTCTATTATTAAGCATAGAAAGACATATAATTATGTATATATTCCTGTAGTTAGTCAAGAAACACTCCTGGAAGTCGATGGCTTACTGCTGATAACAGTAATGAGTACCCACACACATACTTGGAGTCTTAGTTAATCCTTATAGCAGTGCTCTGTTTTACAGTGCTTAAGGGCTGAAAAAAAAAAAAAAACGAATTCAGAGAGTTATGTAACATGTCCTGGTTCATACTACAAGAGATTGAGACAGACTTTCTTCAAGTCTGCCCAACTCCTCAGCCCACACTTCCAGCAACTCTGTGATCCTATGCACTACATACATGTATGCCATGGTCAATGTAGAACTTCACATTGAAGTTAAGACAAAATAAATTACAGGGAATCCTCCTGGGTTTTAAAATTCATTGAAGACCTCAATGACACATTTGTGGACAGACAGGCAGAGAAGACAGAAATTCAACTCCACATGAAATGCTTAGGGGAAGACAAACAATTTTGCTTGGTCAATACAAAGTCAGAAATATGATTATTTCCTTCTTTCTTTTCTTCAGTTTAAAATTAAATAATGATTATGGGCACCATTCATAGATTCCTGCCCTTTAAGACATAACACCAGTGCCCTGCTAACCCTACTAGGAGCCACGTTCCCACTGGGGAATGGAATAAATAACTGTGAAATGGGGTGCATGGGGGGCTACTGGGCCCTTTAAGACTAACTGGAGGCCACTGCCAGCACCAAGGGCTAATGTCTGAATTAACTGAGGTACAGATCATGAATATGAAGTGTGGGTGTGGAAGTACTGTGTTCTTCACATGCTTGCTGGTAGGTACGTGTGTGTGCACTCAACACTCAGACACCCACATACATTATTTTTAAAAATAAGATTTGTGTGTGTGTGTGTGTGTGTGTGTGTGTGTGTGCGTGCATGTGTACATATGTGTATCACAGCACAATTAGGAGGTCATATGACAACTTAGTAAGTCAGTTCCCTCCTTCTACCTCCAGGAGGGCTCTGGAAATCAAACCCAGGTTGTACAACTTGTGTGGCAAACACCTTTCCATGATTTCTAACACCTCCTGGCCAGCATTCCAGAAACTCCCAGAGAGCCTGGCCTTGAGATAATTCAAGGTGAAGGTCAGCACATGTAAGTCATTGTATCCATGGCCCATTGTATGTGGGCCAGACTGTGGTCCAAAGGGAATGCTATTCCTTCCTACTACTGGGGTAGTACTGAGTGTGTTCTTACTGTCTGTTAGTGCATTAGACATTAAATGCTGGATAACCAGGGCAAGACCTCTAAACTACAATGGGAATGTCAGGTTTCTAACTGGGGGTTTTGTTTTGAGACAGGGTCTCATGTATCCCAGATTGGCCTAGAATTCAGTGTAGCCAAGTGAGTATGACTTTGGGCAGATCATCCTACGGTCCCCAACTCCTGGAGGCTGACATCACAGGCATGTCATCATGCCCAGGCTTGAGCTTCTCTGAGCAAGGAAGATAGAACACAGTAAAGGCCCAACAGAGCAGCAGGTTTGCCTGGATACTACTCAGGTACCAAAGCTGGCTCCCAAGGGCACTGTAGACACCTGCCAAGGCTTCTGAGGCTTTCTCTGCCAGATCTTAGATCTGAGAATGACTCTGGTTTGGAGGGAGTCTCAATGGGAACAGCTTGGCTATTTTAGTCTTGCTTACTAGCAAGAAGTTTTGGATTTCCACATTAATTCAACAAACTCTTGGAGATGCCTGGTAAACAAATAAACAAGGCGGTGGGGGGTGGGGGATGGGGGGTGGCTGAAGAGATGGCTTAGCGTTTAAGAGCATTTGTTCTTGCAGAGAACCTAGGTTCAGTTCCCAGTAACTACATGGCAGCTCACAACCATCTGTAAGTCCAGTTCCTTGGGATCCGACCCCTTCTTCTTGACTTACTGGAGCACCAGGCACACACATGATGCACAGACATAAATTCCAGCAAAACACTCATATAAATAAACAAAACTCACCTGGGAGGCAGAGGTAGGCGTATCTCTGAGTTCAAGGCCAGCCTAGTCTACATAGTGAGTTCCAGGACAGCTAGGGCTACACAGAGAAACTCTGGGGGAGAGAGGGGAAGACTGGTACACATCTTTAATCCTAGCATTTGGGAGGCAGAGGCAAGCTGATCTCCATGAGTTCTAAGCTAGCCTGGTTTACATAAGCTAGGACTACACAGTGAGGCCTAGCCTTAAAAAAAAAAAATTAGAAATAAGGTGGAGCCCAGTTAAATGTTGATTGCTGACTTGTGAGATCAAGCCTTAGTGATTGTTTCTAAATGGAAAAAACATTGTTTCCTTAGTACTTACTTTAAGCATTCTTCTCAGTAACAATGTGACACATAGAGTTCCCGGCTTTGTCTGCGTGTGTACACATACATGAGAACATTTTACAAAGAGGAAGTGTTTCCATTTCATAAAATTAAGGGAAGGGGTCACAGCTTTTTCTTTATTTTTTTGAGACAGTATCACTACACAGCCCAACTGGGTTCAAACTTCCAGACATCTTATTGCCTCAGACTTCCAAGGGCTCTGATTACAGGTCTGATCTTTTTCTTTTCAAAATTTATGTATAGTGTGTGTGTGTGTGTGTGTGTGTGTGTGTGTGTGTGTGTGTGTGTGTGAACATGGGCGCGGGTGCGCGTTAGAAAGGGGGTTGCGTATTTATGGGCGCATGCCACAGCACATGTGTGTAGGTGGGGTCAGAGGACTACTTTTGTGTAATTTCTTTTACCTTTACACAGGTTGTGGGGATCAACTAACTTCTATAGGCTTGCAAGGCAAGGTCTTTACCCTATATGTTCCCATTATTCTCCCTTTTTCTTTTGACTGACTGTGCACCAAGGCTGACCCAGGACTCCCTGACTCAAATGATCCTACTGTCATGGCCTCAGGAATAGCTGTGATTACCCCTAGGGGTCTTTTCTAAAGAAATCACACACGCGTGGTTTACGGGCAATATAATGATGTTAAGGCTGACTTAAAGTTGACTTTGGATTGTTGTGATCGCAACTGTTCTCAAAGAAGAGGTTCCCAAATTACCCACTTAAAATTTAAATTTCAGTGCCCTGAAAACTTAAAAGATGGGAAGGTGTATGCGTGCGCGCATTCTCTAAACTACTATCTCATGATTCCTATGAGTTTGTCTTGAGCTCACCTTCAAAAGTTAATGATTATCAAAAGGAGTATTTAAAAATGTAAGTAAAACTCCTCAGCAAGAGAAGAGAAAACTGCCCAGAGAAGAGCCGGTGTGCACAAGCTCGGCTTGGTCGGAATTCAGTTTCCCACAGGCGGTTTCTTCATTACTTAACCGTATGAGTGGAAATTTGTGCCGAATAGAGGAACTTACGGGGGCGACTTGAACATTAGCAACTGCAGACTGATTTCTTTCGAGTGACAAGTAGGGGCTCCGAGACACAACTCCTCTTGGCTCGGCGAGACTGCCCCCCTGCACGGCCCACGTGGCCAAAGTAAACAGAAGGTGGGCCTGGGCGGGGAGAACCCCGGCGCCGCCGGTTTGCAGCCCTGTGGAGTCTTGAAAGCACAGGCCCCTCGAGCATTTTTGGGCACGGTCTTGGAGAAATGGGGAGCGGCTTGGCTGGCCGACCGGGAAGGGAGGGTGGCAGGGCGTGGGGAGAGAGCGGGGAGCGGTCTGGTGCGGTGCTGGGAGCGGGAGCGCGGGGGGCCGGGGGGCTCCACGGAGCGCGCGGGAGGGAGCGGAGTTTCCAAGTGCGCCCCGGGCCCCGCCGGGGACAGAGGCGCGGAGGCCCACGCGCGGGGGTGCGGCCGGCGGGCTGGGGCGGGGGGTGCGGCTGCCAAGAGCCCCCGGGGCGGAGCGGAAAAGCGGAGGCCCCGAGCCCCCCGGGGAGGGAGCGAGCGAGCGCCGAAGCCCCGGTCCCGCGTCCCCGCGAACGCGCGAGCGCACAGCCGGGCCCCCGCCGCGCCCCCGCGCCCGCGCGAGCGCACCGCCCGCCCGCGCCCGCCCGCGCCCGCCCGCGCCCGCGCCGCTCGCATGCCAGTCACGTCCGCCCCCTCGGCGGCCGCGGGAGAGAGCCGGCCCCGGCGAGCCGGGAGAACAGACGTCAAACTGCCTTATGAATATTGATGCGGAGGCGAGGCTGCTTTCGTAGAGGAACAGAAGGAAGCAAGATGGCTGCCCTGTAGGATTTGTTAGAAAGGAGACCCGGCTGCGACGGTGGCGGACTGCGAGGCTAAGGGACCAGAACCAGGTCAGAGCGCTGCTGTCCGCGCCTGTCTCTCTCTCTCTCCCTTTCTCCCCTCGCTCTTTTCGGCAGCCGAACGGTCCCTTTCCAAGCCCCCTCGCTTTCTCTCGGCCTGGCGGGGACTGTCATGTCACCCACAAATACCAAGAGGGAAGAGGGAAGCCTCACAAATTACTGGAGCTTCTTCAACATGGCTGACAAATATAGTTTTAATTTAGCACCCCCCCCCACCACTTCTGCAACCTGCACTTCTGGGGGTCCCTTCTTCCTACTAATGCGTGTGCCCCTCCTTACCCAGAAAACTTACCTTTGTACCTCCCACCAGCCGCTCTCCCGGCCTTTGAGTGTCAGGAAAGTGAGTATTTTCTTGGGGCTGCCTTTCTGAAAGAGCCCATCTTCGGGGATCACCACTTTTCTTTTTGATCCTCCTCCCCCCTGTCCTTAGGGTCAGTCATTCGAGTCCCTCGTTTATCCTCAGACACCCCGGAAAGAACACTGACCCGGTGTTTTTGACTCTTTTATCTCCAGTAGTGTTTGTTTGGGTCCTGTTCTGGGTTTGTGTCTCCGGCTTCCAGCACGTCTCCCCGCTTCCCCCGTGGGCAACTACACTAGACAAATGTCACAGTGAGTGGATTCGGGATCCACTACGTGGAGTTTTTTTTTTTTTTTCTCTCTCTTTTTCTCTTGAGTCCGCGCGTTTTGTTAGTGGCGCTGAGTGAGAGAGGAAAGAATAGTTTCTCTGCTCCCCCAAACAAGACCAGAACCCACTTTTCTCAAGGCCCACAAGCTCTGCGTGGGCTGTACCTTCCAGTTTAGGAAATGTGTGTAGAGAATCTGTGCAAATCTGTGTGTTGGCTTTGTGCTGCCCCCGAATCAGCTTCGTTCTGTTCCCCGGTAAGTGACAGGCACACACAAAGGCAGGCGCAGGCCGAGGGAGGGGGCGGGAGAAGCGTTCCGAATTGGAGACAGCAAGGTCAGGGGCGCCCAAAGAAATGAAACCCAATCCTGGAGAAGATCTAACAGTCCCATCCCAAATTTCCTTAACTCTGGCATTCACTCTTTTGGGGGGTCTTTCACCACCTCTCCTCCCCATACTCTTCACTCACATCCTGATTCTCTCCACCAGAACTGCTTACTTACTGTTAGAAAGCTAATAGGGTTTCTATGGAGAGTTTTCTGCATATGGCCAAACCAAGTGTGGCCTGGACAGACTCCTTGGAAGGTCGAGTTTAAGACATGTAACTTGGTGGCTAATGCCTTCATGATACACTTTTGAGCGCTTTGAGTGAATTTTCTCTCTCTATTAATGATTTGGAATAGAAATAGGTTGTTGTTTTGTTTTGTTTTGTTTATCCCAAGTTGTTTGCTTATAATTTCTTGAAATGTTTTGGTGTTTGCCTATCTGAGGAGCAGAATACATCTGTGGATTTAAAAAAAAATCACAAGTCACACACAGTACTTTTGCTCTAATTAAGAATTATAGTGACAAAATTCATACTCAGAAATACTCATAAGAATAAGATTGCATGTTCCAGGAAGTTGGGATTCCCAGGGAAAATATATTGGTTTGGTTTAAGACTGTGGGTATTGTTGCCTGGTTAATGAAATCATTACATCTGCATTTTAATGGAAAGTTGACATACTGAAGGGGAGTTAAATTCTCCATGTTTCCATGTGTGTTTTGTAATGCATTTTGAATACAGTACAAATTACAACACAAATATTAATTTTGAAAAATGTTGTTAGCAGTACAGTGTTTGTGAAGGATTGGGGGTTAACCTTAAGTTCAGGAGGGACTGATCGGATTTCAAGGTAGAGGGAAAGGCGCATCACTGTACCAGCCAAACCTCCAAACCTGCTCACCCTCCCTAGTTCACTTCACAAGTCTTCCTGCTTTGGTTTTCGGAAACATGGCTAAGCTTGCTTTAAGCTTGGTCCTAGGGGCTCTTCCACATGACCAGAAGGAAGAAACATTACTCATCCCTGAACAGAAACAGTTCATTGGTTCTGATTTGCCCTCAAGTAATAGAGAAAACAGAGGGGTTTTCCTCCACAAATGTTTGTTGTTGGTTGAGAAAACTATGGTCAATTATGCCAGCAATCTAGAATGTAAAAAGAGTAATTTGGCTGGGCAGTGGTGATGCACGCCATTAATCACAACACTCAGGAGGCAGAGGTAGGTAGGGATCTCTGTGAGTTCAAGGCTAGCCTAGTCTAGTGTGTGGTGACATCTTTGAGGGCATGTTTTCAGATTCGTGATCTTTTATGTTCTCAAACTACTCAAAAGTGTTTTCCATTCCAATCAATAAAAATACCTAAATTGTCTTTTTTTTTATGTTATTATAGAGGCCTGTTCTTTCCTGTCATGAAATTTAGAATCTTGTTACTTTGCGCATCTTAGTTTTATGCTGAAAACAGCTGCTAATTACTATTATTTTAAGAGTTCTGGAGAGCTGGGCGGTGGTGGCGCACGCCTTTAATCCCAGCACTCGGGAGGCAGAGGCAGGTGGATCTCTGTGAGTTCGAGGCCAGCCTGGTCTACAAAGAGAGTTCCAGGAAAGGTGCAAAAGCTACACAGAGAAACCCTGTCTCAAAAAAAAAAAAAAGTTTTGGAGAAAAATTGTATATTACTAAACACTTTGAGTAAAAATAACACTTTCTCATTTCTTAGAGAATTATTGAAGCAAACATGGGGTGAAATGTCTACAATTACCTTTCATTTTCTGTATGCGTCCAGGTACCACCTAGGTATTCTAAAAGTTCTTAAGAGGTAGCTGTCTTAGTTGATTTTACTTTAGAAAAAAATATTGCCGGGCGGTGGTGGCGCACACCTTTAATCCCAGCACTCGGGAAGCAGAGCCAAGTGAATTTCTGTGAGTTCAAGGCCAGCCTGGGCTACCAAGTGAGTTCCAGGAAGGGTGCAAAAGCTACACAGAGAAACCCTGTCTCGAAAAACAAAAACAAAACAACAAAAAAAAATTAAACAACAACAAGATTGTAGCTTTTAAAAATGCATTGTTTTGTCTATTTGCATACTGAACTAATGAAAACTTAACTTGGAATGAGACTTTGCTTTGTTTAAATTCACTTATTGGTCAAATATTTTTAAAGCTTTCAGTAGATGACTGTTGTTTCAGTCTGTGCCAGGAACCTGGGGGGTGGTATGGGTTCCATGTGGCAACATATGGCCCTGCACACTGGCATCGCCATCACTTCCAGAGCAAGTGTGCACACCTGCTTTGGGCTCGCCAGGATGACTTCCCCGGTCCTTATTGGCTGCTGTATATGTGTTTCATTCTGGTTTCACTTGTTGAAGCTAGAAATTCCCTATCAATTGCTCTTAGCTCCACCCAGACCCTCTTGTAAGCCAAGTGCCACTATTTCCTTGTTTGCTAGCCTCATTTGGAAACCCTTTTTATGAATCACAGGCACATCTACAAGAAAGTCTCTTTTCCATCATTACCTAAGCAAATTAGTCCACTTTTAGGAACCAACCATCAGGTAAAATGTCTTAGAAAATGTTTGAGCTGGGTATGATGTGTCAGGTCTGTCATCTTAGCACTTGGCAGGCTGAGGCAGGAAGATGGCTAAAAACTTTGGACCAGCTGAGGCTAATGAATGAGACATCTCAAAAAACAAAAAAAAGGAGATGATATTTGATATAAAATGTCTGTATTTTAGGATATCTGGTATTTGTATTAGATCTGATATTTATGCTATAATTGCTTCTAACTTTTCATCTGTTATTTTTAACAATTGTTGCTTTTTATGTATGAGTGTTTGCTTTCACATTTGTATGTACACTGTGCACATGTTTGGTGCCTTTGGAGGCCAGAAGAGGATATTGAATCCCCTGGATCTGGGGTTAGGTAGTTGAGAACTGCCATGTGGATACTGTTTGGAACCCAGATCCTAAGCCAAGTGCAGTGAACCTTGTTAACTGCTGAGCCATCCCTCCATCCCCAAATTTCATAGTCTTACATAGCTTATTGCTAGAAGACACATTATAATTATGTCTTGAATGGGACAGTATTGATTCATTAAAGTCATACTTTCTCAAGGATTATGCCACCATTGAATAGTAATTCCTGGGGGCAGCAACAGTACCAAAATCAGCAGCAGGAAAGTGTCTCCTAAGCCAACTTTACAGTTGGAGCCTTAGCTGTGGGAGAGTCCAGTTGCCAAGCAGACTGGTGGTTATCCTGGAAACTGTGCTAAAGAACACAACCACAGTGATTGTTGCCAAACACACAGTATTTACACGGGTCTGGTGCTCTGGTTTCTATTACAGTTGACTGCCAAAACTTTGTGAATACTGTGACATTATTGAATGAGGTTATACAGTGCATCTGTTGGTGTGTAGGGCTCTAGCAGGGGAGGAGGCGCAGTCAGAGCATGTGGGTCACAATGAGCACAAGCAGGAAGAAATGTGTACACTTTACACTTGCTCACTTCCAACAGTATTCTGACTGTAGAATGGACATTGCAGCAAATTCCAAGCTTAAGCTAGAGCTATCATTTTTCTCAATAAAATTGACTTTGAGTTGCCATTTCCAGTGTAGCAACTTCTCGCTTTTGACTTTCTCCATTTGTTGCAAAAGGTATTTAAGGGGTTAGAGAGATGGCTCAGTAGTTAAAAACACTTTGCCCCATCCTGAGGACTGGAGTTTGAATCCTAGCACCTACATTGGATGGCTTACAAACACCTTTAACTTATAGATCCAAGTATTCCAACACCCTGCTTCAACCTCTGCAGACACCTGAACACACACAAATAAAAATAAATAAATCTCAGGTTGGACATGGTGGTGCACACCTTTGTTTTTTATGTATATTTGTCTGTATATATTACACTATGTTCCTGCAGTGCCAACAGGGGACCAGAAGAGGGCATCATCAGATCCCTAGGAATGAGAGTTACAGAAGATCCTTAATCCAACAAGTGAATGCTGGGAACTGATACTAGGTCCTGGAAGAGCAGTCAATGCTCTTAACTTCTGGGCCCTCTCTTCAGCTCTGGTTTGAGACAGGTCTTGCTATGGAGCCCTGGATGGCCTGGTCATTCCTATGCTGGCCCCAGACTTGCTGAAGCCCTCTTGACTCTGTCTTCTGATTGCTGAGGTCCCACGATGCCTTATGGTGCCTCTGTAAGAAACTAAAACCCAGTGCTTTAAGCTCACGAAAGATTGTTGTTCAAAACTGATGTGAAATCATATTCTAAATAGTCTGAGAATTAAAATCAGATGAATAAACTGGGATGAAGTATTTTTGAGAGATAATTTAGGGCATAAAATAGATCTGTTGTACCAAAAATACAGCAAATGTTTCTTTTAAATTAGATTTCTTCCTGTCTGTTGAGAACTTGCTGATTTCTCTGTTTTTATTCACTACAGAATCTAGTAAAAACCTTTTTTTTTTTTTACTAGAACATGTGTCATCTGTACTCAAAGCATAATGGGAAAATAATGTAAGAGGCCTTGGTGATGGCGTGGTGGTAGGGAGTGATGCTATTTTTCCTGTATGTAATTTCTACAGGAAATGGAAATGGCTTCTGCTAAAGTCACCCATCTTCAGCATGGCAGGTAGTGGCTTTTATTACATTTCTGCTGGGATTACATATTTTTAATTGAAGC